CTCTTCCGTTAACTGGCAATACCTCTAGGAGTAGCTGGAGAAGATAAACCCACTTCCATGAGAATTTCAAGTTCTTCCCATCAACACCTTTCTGAAGGCAAGAAGAGAGAAGCAGCGAAACTCATATTAGTGCTTCAGTGAGCTCTCTGCACTGGCTATACATTGAGTGTTTTCAGCCAAAAAGTTGACAGTCTTGTCTGAACTGACCCTGCTCTATCCTCCAGGACCTTTATTTGCCTAGGCAGCCTGAAATTCTGCTTTTCATATGGCGGGATCCTATGCTGCATGATCACCTCAGGCTCTTTGCTGAGGTATTTCTGTTTATCAAATGGTTATTTTATGTCTTCAAACCAAACAACCACTGGATGTACTTATCTGGAAATTATTCTCCCTCTCGATAAATGTAGAATCTCCACAGCTTCTGTAAAAATGGTCTAATTGGGCTGAATGAGATAGAATCTAGAGGTAGACATCTGGCCTTACCGAAGGCAATGGCAGAATTTACCTGGACTTGAGAAAGACAAGGATTATAATCTTGATATATTCAGTTATCCTAAAATACTAGGCTGCCTTAAACCCAGACTGGCCTTTGAATCAGGAATGTATACATCTGTGCACCTGCTCACACACTAGCAAAGCACTATTGTTTCCTGCAATTCTCACTTTTCTATGGTCTTGCAGAAATTCGCTGGTTTATGCCGATAGCTCCCTCCTGCCAGGAATCCCTGCTTTGCTCAAAAACTATATTCAGTTTTTAAAAATTGACGAAGTAGAATCGTAGCTTGGTTTTCTGAAACCAAATCTGCCAGCCCTGTATGAGTTGCTCAGGTACACACACTGTCTTTCAAATGGCACTCCACATACAAGTGACATTCTTATATTTAGTGTAGTATGAAACTCAGAAAGCTAAAATAATAATGGAATATTTGAACATTAGTGAAATTAATCCACCTTTTTGCCCTCCTTTTAGAAAACTTTGAAATTTTTAGTCCAGGACCCTGCTGATAATTCAAAATCCTTTGTGCCCTAAAAAGACATGTGTCTCCTACTCTGTTATATTGCATATATCTAGCAATGGGAGGTGCCTTCCATTAATACCATCCTGTCAGGTACACACTGCAAGTCAAGTAACCCTGGAATTAGCCCATGAAGGTGTCGAGCATCCCCTCCTCGCAGAGCTGCAGGCATCCAGTTCTTCCAAAGGTCTACGCACATAAACTATTAACCTCTCTCATTCGCCTGGGTTGTTGTTAGTTATCCCGTTAGAATGCATTATGTCATGGTTTAACTCTATCCCAGCCGAAACCAGGACACGTTGTTATGATGTCAAAGGATGCAAGGAAGAAAACCAGCAAGCCACTCAGTTGGGTGCTGTGTGAAGCTTTGAAACTTAGGTGAAGCCAGAGCTCATATGACTTGAATTTTGAGCAGATTGACAGCTGCTGTTCAAAGGTTCCCTGGCAGCTCTTTGGCCAGCAACAGCCACTGTTGTGCTTCTAGTCCACATTGTCTGAATCAAGGGAGATCTCAGTGACAGGGTTGACATAAGTCAAGCCAGCAGCTTAGAGGACAGGCAAACCTTGGAGGAAGAAACAGCCTCTTGGGTATTAACCAATCTACTGTTTTTTGCTTGAATCTGTGTAGAATGCATTTTTTCCTCTCTTGCTGTATATGCTGTTTGCATTAAACCTTCACAGTAACAGAGCCGACTACTCAGCGTTCATATAGGACTGAGGACACCCTTGCTGTCAGTATCAGAAGAAATAGGCAGAAAACACAACGAACAGGCCCATGGCTCCTCCCCAGCCCCTTCAGAGCCTTTCTGTAGGCTTGGTTCTCTAAGGCCCTTTCCCTGGACCTAACCTTGTTTCTCCAACAGGCTGACCCTTCGAATTTTCTTTCCCTTCCCTCTGGGTTCCCTCCTGGACAAATTCAGGAACGAATCTGCACAGCTTTACAGGGTCCCCTTCCACCACCTGGACTCTTTGTTCTGCCTTTGTCTGTCCTCCCCGTCTGCTCTCCTTCCTTTGCCAGAAAGGACTGCCAAAACCGGTTCGCATTCCGGCTTTAGCTAATCTCCTTTTCAAAATGAAATAGGACTCCTTTTATTCTGGACCTGACTCCTGCCAGGTGTTGCAATCATGGCCCCTTTCAGTTCAGTAGATAAACACAAGCTTAAGGCTAAATCTTAATAGTCCCCATTAAGTATTTAGTTCAGGTCTGTGAGGAACCTTGCCAGCAGTGCTGGGTACATGTTTGCACAGAAATATCCACAAAATACCAGAGACACATAACAAATTCAGCAGAAAGCAGCACCTGTAGACACACATCCCCTTCACAGTCACATGCCGCTTCCAGTCACACCCATTCAAATCCAAAAGGTGAAATTGCGGTTCAAAACAGGAATGCAAATAGATTCACAGGCTCACAGGACTGCAGGATAATTCAGGTTGGACGGGACTGCAGGAGGTCAAAGCAGAGTCAGTCGTGAGGTCAGACCAGACTGTGCAGGGCTTTATCCAATCTGATTTTGAATCCAGATGGATCCAAATATAGTTTTGGACATACGTAGGTGTAACAGAAAGTACAATACCTCTCCGGGTCAAAGTTAAATGCCAAGATGATATAGTAAGACTCCCAGTGTTCTATTTTCCAGTGGAGATCCAATTTTGGGACACTTCTCAGGCTGAGATCCAGGCTCTTTGGATGAGCTTGCATGGCATGATGCTTATTCCTCTATTTTGCCATGAGCAGAAGGCACTGGTGTGTTGTTGTGGAAGTAGTCTCCACAACAGTGACAAATTACTCACAAAGCAAATTATCACTAGAAGACCACCACTGCATTGCCACTTTGCTTTTCTCTGGGGATATATTGGTAAATAGACATGCTGTAACATGGAAAGCTAAGAAATACTGACTAAATAAAAAAGTCTAGTGATTCTTAAAATGTAAAAGAGAAATCAGTGTACTGGACCAGCTGCCCTGTGAAACAAGAGTCCTCCCATTTTAAACTGTCTTCTGCAAGGTGCTGGAAGAGGTGGTCCAGACTAGTAATTTATACAATACCAGGAACCAACAGAAATACTAGAAGTTACAAATGTCCTCTGGAATCAACTGCCTTGACTAGCAAAGGATGGTGACCTCCAGCAAGAAAAAATTTCAGAGCTGCTCTTCCCACGCTACTGTGTTGGTAGTACCTCAAGACACATGCCGTTAGTTAAAAGCACCTGCAATTGGCAGGATTCAGCTACAAATTCAGACATGTAAATTTAGGTGTCTGACTATAAGTGTCTATATCTACCCTTGTGACTTAATCCAGTTGTCTAGATCTTGAGTGTTGTTTGAGGTGCTTTATGACAGCTGATGTCCAATGAGTAACCCAGAAGAGTGTTGGTCTCCTATTGGGCCTCTGAAATTAGGAAGGTGTCTCAAATATTCTAAGATGCCTGAAGCTGGACTAGGCACCCATGCCTAGGCAAGTAAGTACAGGCTTAGTCTACATCATCATTATTCAGTGGAGATCTCCTGAATACAGTCAGTGGAGCCTAGACAGAGATTTGACTTAACCTAAACAGACACTTAGGTTTGTTCAGCAGTAGTTGAACCCTGCCTTTGGTGTCATTTCAGACACCATGCAGCACTGGAGATACCTGCACAGGGCTCACAAATGTGACATGTGGGAGATTTGTTGCCTTCTGGATCAGCAGCTGCAGATCAGGAAGGGTACCCTAGGGCATTGCTTGCCTTCAGCCAACCAAATGGAGCCTCCGTTGTATTTTATATCATAGGCAACCTGTCTTTGATAGCTGTGCTGCTCAAGGAACAACCTCTTAGTCATGTCATTATCCTCCTAGTAGGCTGCTGTGCAAAAACCTTATCAGCTTTGGCATATACATGTGTCCTCCCATGGCCTTCAGTGACAGCATCCTCATTGTTGCTCCCAATACACATCTATACTTGGACACTCTTGACTGAGAGACAACGTGGATATCTCACAGCTTCTGTCTGCTAAATTTTAAGTGAGTTTTAGACTGGTGTGAAACCAGTTAGACTTACTTCCACCCCCAGAAGGAGCATTTGCAAAGCATTTGGAGTTATTTACTAATAGAATTGACGGAAATGACTTGTAGCAAGCCCTCCTGACTTGTGATAAAACACCTATGTGCTGAAGTTAAAATCTGCAAGACTTTTTATCCAGCCTTTGCATGTTTAGCTCTACCATGAGCAGAAGATAGATAGACAGACAGATTTGTCTTGAGCATAAAGGAGACCCACAGTAGAAAGGAAACAGACTTGTTTCTGTATTAGACACTAAAAGACTTCTTTATAAAGTTTTTCTTTAATTCAGACTGCTCCTTGCAGGTTTCTCTGCTTCTTAATTTCGCGTACTAATCTCTTTTAGGGAAAGGAGAGGCTGGAGGACTTACATCAAGACAGATTGATGGGGTTAGAGGTGTCCAAGGATTCTGCTGTAGATACACAGAAAGAATAATTCTTCAATCAGAAACAGTACAATTACAGTTGAATTACAACAAAACTATTAAGCTTGCAACCGTTCCTAAGTCTTTTGGATTTGCCATGAGCTGTTTTCCCTGAGCAGAGAAGTCATGAGCAGTTAATATCTTCACTTTCAGGCTTACACAGGAAACTTTTGCCTGATTTTTGATCTCACCTAAGCTATTAAATTCCACCGAAGTGCTCCTGCAGTGCACAAAAGTTGATCTGAATGTAGAGATTTGTGAGGTTTGGCTATAAGTGAGATTTGGCTAAAAAATGAAAAGGTGTATGAATCACTCTGAAAAATGAGCAGGGAAGAAACTGGGCATTCATGCTTTTCAGCAATGGTATTGATGGTATATTCATCTCCAGGACATTACCCTGTGCTGGAAAGCAACAGCTATGCAATTTCTTAGCTACAGTGGTAGCCACAAGCCTGCTATAACCCTTCCTCCGATGCTCTGGAAGAGTATAGCCATGAATCATGGTGGCAAACTGGTCTGTCAGGCTCCAGGAGAGGGGATACCTGTTGTCATCCAAGACACAGACACTGGGGAAGCAGCAAATGAGGTTAGCAAGGTACTTCTGGCACCTTGGGTTGCCTCCCCGTGACCAGGTTTTGCTGAGCAGGCTGACATGGGAGATGTCCAGGTAAGCCAAGGTTAATTTAGGGTCCATCCTAAGAGACAGTACAGAAAGTGTATTAGGAAGAAAGCTGTGCCTTATATTCTCCAAGCAACTGCACTAGATTTAAAGCTGTCTTCTCCAGCCAAATAGATTTCCAGGTCTATATCAGAAAGGGTGTCCTGGTTTCGGCTGGGATAGGGTTAAATTTTTATCGGTCAGCGCGGGTGGTGAGCAATTGCATTGTGCATCACTTATTTTGTATATTTTATCATTATCATTATTCTCCCTTTTCTGTTTTATTAAACTGTCTTTATCTCAACTCACGAGTTTTTCTCACTCTTACCCTCCCGATTCTCTCCCCGTCCCACTGGGGGGGGGCGGGGAGTGAGTGAACGGCTGCGTGGTATTTGGCTGCCTGCCAGGTTAAACCACGACAAAGGGGAATCAAAGTGAACTGGAGGTTTGGGAATAATTAGAGAGGGCAGCACCTCTCCATTTTAGGTTTTTGTTTATATATGCTCCTGAGTCCACACAACACACTCCAGAGGTGCCTCATTCCTTACAGGAAGAGTGGATAATATGTTAAAGAAGGCAAGGAACCTCAGTGACATATTAGGTGCCACAGAGGAGTGGAAAGGATTTGATTTCCAGTCTCTCATCCTCCAAGACTGATAGATTGCCTCTGGATTTTGAATCCACTGCTGAGAAATTTATTCCAGGAAAAACGGAGCCTGTGGTTCCCCTACTCTTCTGCTTTGATGTCAGATCGATATCTCACCAGCAGAGAGATGTTAGAAAACTTAGAAGGCTTCAAGTAGTTGTGTAAAGCCCCCTTGTGAAAAATAAACTTTGCGGGAGTCCCAGATCCATCTATCAAATCTAAGGAGCTTTGACACAGGAAAGCCAAAGGAGATGGAAAGCAGACCTGTGGATCCCATGTATACATGATGAGAGCAGGGGATGGGGACTATTCTGGACCATAAAAATGCAAAAGTGATAGACTGATTAAAGACAAATCTTGGTAAGTATTTAAGGTAATAGTTCCTTCGTTACCAAGTAATTCCTCAGTCAGGTTTTTGACCCACTCACAGAGAAAGCCTAGCAGTCTTCCTGATATTTTTGATGTAAATGTACTTTCAGGAAATATATTGCTATAGTAATGACATGGAGTGCTTAGACATACTGAAGTCTGACATCTGGCAGCATGTCCGGGTCTGAATGGATAACCGTCTGGGAAGAGGATGTTTTCACATCTACCTGCTTAGATAAAGCCACAGTTCTGGATATTTCACGTATTCCATCCTGGAGCCCTGTGTATACAAAGATAAATACTAAGGCACTTTAAAAAGAAAGCATTTAAAAAAAAATAAAGCCCAATAGTACACTTTTAAAGGCACTAGCCAGGTATTTGAAATCTTCAAAATTATTAACTAGGTTCCCTCCACACTCTGGCTATAACTTCACATATGTGAAGGTCAGAAGACACCACACTTTTCATCTAATCCAATCACCAGAACAATGAGGACACAGACCCTCTCCAAGTGACCTCCCCATCTAACTAACTCCTATCCTCAGTTTGAGCCACAGTAAATTACCCAGTCCTAATACAAGGATTTCAGTCGTGGAGGAATCACCTATTCCACAAGCAAGTCCTTCTACTAATTGGTAACCTTCACTATTAAAAATTATTTCCCATTTAGGTCTTGTCTGGGTTCAGCTTTCAAACACTGGCTTTCACTAAACCTTTAATTACTGCATTAACTATGGCTCAGGTCAGTCTGTATGTTGTCTACAGAATCCTATGGCCAGTAGCAAAATTAAACATAAACAAACATGCCTTCCTGACAAGGAAATAGCTTCATCTAATTGAAAGCAGAACTTGAAATGGTAACAGTGAATATGATACAGATGAAATTCAAAAGCTAGAAGAGTCATATCCTAAGTCTTGTGCTTTACTTAAGCACAAAAAATCTTTCTACAGAGCAGAATGCCAGAGTCTACACTCCATGAAGATTTTATCTATTCTGTTTCCTCTAAACCAAGTAAGGCTGGACTGTACCTTGTATCTGAAAAATTTGTCCCCAGTTGATGGCATTTGTGTTTTCCAGTAGCTCCTGGTAAGCCTGTAACTCCTTGTAGAAAACTGCATGAGCATTGGTATAATGGTCAAGGTCATCCATCTCATTCTGAGGAGAAAAAATATGGAAGAATTAAAAATTCTCCCCGTTCCCACACACACGTTTTTCACATTGGAATCAAAACTCCCTGAAAGCCAACGCCAGAGATCTAAAAATTGTTACGAGCTTCAGGGTTGCTTCCTTTTAGGACTTTTTCAGTAACGACTCTCAAGCAAGACAGTAGAAATATCTGTTGTTCTCCACAGTGTCATATTAGCAGAAAGCAGCAATGGTAGTAAGTCCTCATGTACCCAAGGCACAGTAACCCAAACCTGGTGGCAGTTTCTTGAAACTCTTGCCTAATTCATTGTTCAAAGCTCACCTCTACTACTCGTTGTCCCAAAAACCATGCTGTGTTATTTGGTTGCCAAGGTCAACGTATTTAGACCGCTTCTCTTCTGGTAAACAAAATAGTACCAATGCTTGTTCTCTGCCCCTGAGTTGAAATAGCACAGCCTGGCCTCGTCAAGACTATTAAACTCTCTTAGTCTCCAAAACAGGTTGGAAACATCCAAACTGCCAACTGGGGATTGTCTGTGTCCTATGCTGACTCCTGCATTGCTGGCCTAGGAGAGCTGGTTGTCCCAGAGACCACGCCAAGGATTTAAGTGTACCCCATATGAGCCTACACCAAAAAGGGCTTGTCTCCTAGCCTGGAGTTGGGGAAGCACCCACAAATTCATGCAACTCAGAGGTTGCTTTATCATGGTGGACAGAAGGTGTTAAGGCAATGCCCCCTCCCAGCTTCTCTTTAGCACTGCCTGTTATGGACCAAAAGACTGCAGAAGGACCCTTCTTTCACCTTGTAGCCGCATCTGCCCCATCACAAGCTCACTAAGGCTTTTTTTTCTGTCTGTCTGTACAAAAGCTAGAAAGACCAAAGAATCCTTGGAATATTTGGTCAAGTGTCATGACTGCAGGTAAAATGTGTCTCTGCATAAGCTACGCAAGTTAATCTTCAGTTAATCTTCATGCAGTCAGGATAATTACAATCAATTAGAGTGTGTACTTCATAAATAAGTTTAGTTATGCTATAATTGCTAGGCAGAATGTTTCGGGAAAAAGCAGCACTCCCTATAGTGGGCTTTGTGCTGGCACCCACTGGGATGTCCTATTGCACTTCATGGTTCCCACCTCCCCCTGTTACACACTTCCCAGATAAAGCTAGCCCCATCCGCAAAGATCTCGGGAAGCTGAGAGGAAGGCCCCAGTCACGTTAGATCCACATCTCGGAAACGAAGATAAAAAACACGTCAATCTACTTCCCTCTGCAGCCGGGTGATAACAGCTCTGAAGTCTGGCCATGAGTCCACCACCACTTCCTTCCTGAAGGGGTTCCCTCGGTTGGTGTTCATCACAGCTCCATACACCTCCAGGATGAAGAGCCAAGAGAAGAAAGACAGTTTGAGACCTGCTAACGTGGCGCCTGTGTTATAAACCAGAGTATGAACCTGTGACACAGAGCTGAAAGCACACGTGTAGATTTTCATACCTACACACCCATCAGTAAGGCATATTACCATGAAGATAAACCATTGTCTAATTATGCCAACCCTAATTACTTTGGAGAGGAGGTGGACCGGTTTGCTTCTTTCTTTTCTTAAGTGTGTGGATTTGGGTTAGTAAGCAGGGCCAAACAGATATCTCAGATGTAGTCATCTAAACAGCAAATATCAGTCAGTCCAGAAGAAGCACAACCCTCTCCCTGACAAACGTCCTGATTCACTGATGGAAATACCACAGAAAATGACAGGTCAGCGCTGTGTTACCTTGAGGCACCCGGGGAAACTCCACCTTAGCATTTTCTCCAGCAGCTGCAGCTTCATGGAGCAGTTGAGGACCAGCATCTTCCTTGCTGGGAACACACACAAGGTATAGAGTCACTCAGAAAAGCAATAATGTGGAGGAACTGAGTGGCATAATTGCTAATTTCATAAAATACAATAGCTCCCACAAGTGCCCTGTTTCAGCATTCTCCTGTGGAAAGCGTTTTGGGAATTTTTTTTTTTCAATAGATGGATGTGCAGAGAACAGCAAGATGGGATGGTGTTTGGCAGACCAAGTTGGAGTCAGAAAATCCTGGGCTTAATTTGTTATTCTACACCAGGTTTCTTGTGCAACCTCAGGCAGGTCTCTTACAGACAGGTTCAAAAAAAGGCTTTCTCATGTCTGCCCCAAAAAATCATGTTAGTTTTTGCTGGTAAAAACTGTAAAAATAAAATCTTACCACCAACTTCTTTAAGCCTAGATATGACCCAACTCTCTTACTGGTACAAGTAAGAGTAATTTGTACTATGTTAATTCAGCCTTTAACTTTTTAGGCTATGATTTGGGATAGTTCATCCCCCAGGGTAACTTCAGCAGAGGAGTTACTGCGAGAATGACAGCCACAAATCTTATTTATGAAACAGCTGCCTTGCCTTGGTAATTTTTTTTCCTTTCCACCTTCGCTGTAAATCCAAACTAGCCCATCCAAAACAACATAGTTATGGTCTGTCAAAAAAACCAACCAAACAACCAAACAACCAAACCCCAAGAAACAAAAAAACCCCAAGAAGCAATAAAAATGTATCTTCACTTAAAAGGTCCAAGGAAAGAATTCAAATCCTAAGGTTTCTCAGAAGTACCACATCCTTCATCCTCTCTTTTACCTCTTCAATGTGCACCAGTTAATCTTAAAAGCATTTCCCTTTGCTGCAGTTCATTATAAATCTTAACACACCTTACAAATTATTGCAGCCATCAAGTATCTACCTTACTACTAACAAACATCTTACAAGCAGCCACCTCTCAGGATCACAGATGAAGCAATAAATCCTGTAGCAGGGGGCTAGGTGGTCATCCACCCTCAGCACCCATGTTTGCTTATTAGACGCTATATGGCTACTACAAAGGTACTGATCCAACAGACAGATCACAAGAACAATCAGGTGTTACTCAATCTGATTTTCCTATGTTTTTAAAGGAAATAAAAAGCATACTACAAATGTTGAAGGGTCTTAGCATCAACGACTTATCTTGTCAGCGCTATGTATTAACCTTATAGTTGATCTTCTACTGCAAGTGAGTCAAGGAGTCTTTCCAAGATCACTGACTGATCTGTCACCCATAGAAAAAGGTTTCTATTCACTTGTTCTTAATACAATGTGCCAATCTGGCCGTTTTTTAATTTTGTTTAATTCTACAGATTGCACAGTATGTATTTTTTCTAAAGGCTTTTGCATCTCATAATTTGAATCTTCCTTCCAGGCTATATTTAGGTTTCAAATATTTAGTCCAGTTTCCAAGTGGCAAGGCTTTGTTTAACGGAGAAACAACACAACAGTCAGCACTAATTGCCTCTTGTTGTTGTCCTCAGCAGCCAAATTAAGGGTTGAATAAACCATAGCATTAAGCAACACACTTATACAGACAATCTGCTCCCCAGGTCGGGGTAGAGATACATGAACAGAGCAATATAGTGAAGCTCAGGCTGCCCCACTAAGACACTTGTGCCTTAGATAAGAAAGTATCTTCCAGCATCCATGTGATCCACCATCAGTCTCAAGCCCTCCCCTTGTTCCTTGTCTTGCCATAAAAATTAAAAAAAAAAATAGCCCATTCTATGATCACATGTGCATATTTACCTTTCTTGAAGCTTATACTCCTTTTTCTCACCGTTTTCAGAGGGAAAATTGCCTCTGTGTCACAGCACATCAATATATGTGCAACTATATCTAAAGGCAGCGTTGACACGTGTTTGAATATACAGCTACTTTTACCTGAGGACAGTTCTTACACCTCTACGCCTGGAAGTACTTTCGGATCGAAAAAAAATATTGCACTGATAGACCACCTGATCTCTCACCTGATTTCAGTCTTGTAGCTCATCCTTCCAAAGTGGAACAATAAACTTGAAGTTAGGAGACAATAAAATGCATCCACTTTGTGGCTGCTTCTGCATGGGGAATGACGAGAGTCCTTGTCCAGAATCTTAAAACTGTAATTTTATTGATCCAAATTGTTCTAAACTGGTATATGGTTCCTAAAAGCTTTATTCTTTCTTTCTTTTGGGGAGCATGGAAATAAAAGCCAGAGCCAGCCACACCTTCAGAGGAGGAGGGACTCTGTAGTGTCAAAAGGCTTGTTCAAGAGTATAGGCTCAAGCAAGAACCTTTAATTTTTTCATTAAGACATTTAATCTCTTTGCATTCATACCAGTGAATGATCTGCTTTGCACATACTGATAATTACCCTTTTTCTTCTCAGTGGTAGTGAAATTAAAGTAGTCAATTCTCATTCTCGGTACCAAGCTTCATACGATGAGGGAATTAAGAGCCTGAGATAAACTGGGACATGTTCTGCCAAAGAGAAACCCAACCCAGCTAAGGAGCCCCAAGCATCATTTTGAGGTGGCAGCCCTGTTCACCCTTTGCCTGATTTTTTGGTTGTCCCTGTCAGTCCAGTCTGGTGATGCTAACCCATATTGTCCTTTTGATTTGAACTTGATAACCTATAGCACAAGGCAGAAGAATCAATAGAGAAGGAACATTGAAGTGTTATGGGAGAGCACATGCAGAAAGATGATTTGAGCATGAGGAAGAGTTGATATGGGGTACGGATTGATATTCCTGCTATATCTTAAGAAATCTGTAGTTTGTAACTTACCTACTTGAAGCCAAGGTTTGTGAAATTGAGGAGTTTCAGATGCTCCCAAGTCAAATCACACAAGTTCACAGCTCCACGCAAACTGATCAACAGTGAACTCATTAGAAACCAAAACCTGATCATTCTGCAACTCTGCCCAAGGGTATCCACCATCAACTAAGTTGAGCTCAGACCACCTCCTAAAAGTCTGGGTTTATGTTCCTGTTTTATGTTGTCCTGTTTATATGTGCATGACAACCCCAAAGTAACAACATCCACAGCCAGCCTGCCTATCATAATCACCCAATGTCAGGAAAAAAAATGAAACTAAAATAATTATGGCTTGCTTCTGTAACTGTCTAGCCCTGTAAGGCAGGACCTCCACTGCTAGTGACAGCTTTGCACTGCGTTTACAAGGCCTCAGGATTGAGGCTCACCAGGCGCTCTTTGAATGTTTTACTTAGCTGTGTAATTTAGCATTTCCTCTAATTGACCAGGGGTCTATGAATAATTATTTTATTTTTGTTATCTGTGTATGGTACAACCACAGTTTTATACAGGCAGCAGTAACAAGCAGTTATTCTATGTCAGATGAGATATTTATGACTAACATAATGACGTAGTATAGAGAAATCTGATTGTTGGTGAGTTCTTTATAGCTAAGGGGTCTCCCGTGCCAAGCCTCATCTCTTATCCTCACCGCTCTCCCGTGCCCCATCGCTTAGCACCCCATACCTGTACTTCTCTGCACCGCATCCCATATCTCCATTTCTCAAGGCCTCTGCTATCATACTCTGCCTGTATTTCTCTATACAGCTGGACAAAACTGGTTTTAGGAGTAACAAAGAAATAGCACCTAACATACATAAAGGGTATTATACGCTCCTCCCCAAGCAGGGCTTCCTCTTTGCATTTAAACACTATTTTGAACATAACACATTGCAATCTGAACAACTAGATTTGGAAGGAAGGGAAGAGACCAAATCTCAATTCCATGGAATAATTGCAAAAGGTCTTGTAATTACAGCCTTTCTTGGGGAAATGTAAGAAATGCTGCAAATAGCTAAGCAAAAATTCATCCCATTTCAGTACCCTGCCTTTCAGGGTGTCAGCATGTCTGATTAAAAGTACATCAGCAATGTAACACTACCTTGTCGAAACCATTTAATTGTCTCTGATGGACACACGCTTCATAGATTTGTTTACTTCTTTTTCACATCTATTTGTACACTTTGTCTTACACAAAATCTTCTGGCACTGTTTACACAGAGTACCCTACTTTAAGAGCTTGCTATCTAGCCATGAGTAACCAATCCCTACTCAATGCTTTCATAAAATGCATTACATCTTTATTATTTCCTTCTTCAGTTACTGCTATTTCAACTTTCCTTGTATGGAAGCTATATCATTTCTGACTCCTACTTACTGCCCTTCTCCACGCTTTCTCTTTTTTTTTAAAAACGAAAAAAGGTATCTATGTGGTTCATGAAGTTCAAAACCCACTTGCTCACAAGTTGATCACCCTTAATGAAAGCAAAGGAGTATATCTTTACTCAAAAATTAAGATAGCTGGCATGCAGGAAAATCATTAATCCATAATCTGGATTAAATTACTTTGGGGTAGTGGTTATGTCAGTAAATGCTCCCCTTGTTGAGTGATCAAAAATTTGAGAAATATTTCTAAATATGTATATACTTTTTCATGTAAGTCAGTATAAAGCAAGCAAGCACTTAGTCTGGTTCTCCTGATCCTACATGTAGCAACTACAGAGAGGCTTTTAATCTCTCATAGGAGAATAGAGACAATTAGCTCATGTCTCATTAAGAGTACCAGCAGCTTGTAAACAAAAGAACAAGTGTTTGCATGGTAAGTCTTGCTAGAGCCTATAGTGTGTGGTAAAGAGCACTTCTGTGTTCTAGCAGATAATTTGACTGGAGAAAGCACTTTGTAATAACTGAATCTTTTAAGGGAGAAGCTCCATCATGGAGAAAATAGAGCAGAAATTGAGGAAATGGGAAAATAGACTTTTGACTTCATTTTCTTCTGCTGAAGAATATCTGACAGTTAATGAAATATAAGGTGAGTACACAACTCTGAAATTAGAGCTTTGCTCTATAATGTTCTTATCTGCTTTCCCCAACCATCTGGATAAACCAGGTGTGAATGTCTTTTTCTTTTTTTTTTTTTTAAGCGGTGAATATGAAAATGTTAAAAAAAAAAAATCCTGTACATTTGATTAAAATTATTCAATTTCCTGCCATGGAAGTTTTTTATTAAGAAATGGTAAGAAATTTGAACAGGGGATTTGCAACTGAGCATTATATAACCATACTTTTACTATGTGTTTCAGGTTTAAAGAGGATTTAACTCCAAAACAAAAGTTAGTTTGGTAAGAGATACTGCCTTTGCCAATTTAGAGATGTGATATAAAAGTCCAAATATAATGGAATACGTTGCCTTATTCTATAAGAATGCCCAAAGAAACCCAGGATCCATTCCCCTCCCTTCTCCTAAGACAGTATATATCATCATTAGAAGTCATCACAGGTCCAAAAAAAACCCAAAAAACCTTGATTGATCACTTAAATCACTAGAGTCCCAGAACGCATCTACAGATTTATACACCAATATTCATAGAAAATGTTTTAATAGAAACTCAGCAGTCACAACAGTAAAGCCATTAGGAAGAAAACAGTTTCCATGATCATCATGCTACATTAACACAGAGTGCTGGCCTAGGTTATCTTCTTCAAAGGAGACTCCATATATTTTGGTTTCTCAAAGGAAGTCCACCTTCTCATAGGTCTTTTCAATGAGGGTTAACATGTTCTTCAAGTCAGCTGACTGCTGAATAGTGTTCATGTCCTTTAAAAGACCTTTCTGATTTTTTATCTTCAAAATTTCTTCCTAAAGAAGGAAAGAAAGAATAATAGACAACAAATAAAAAACAGCTTTCATTGAGTCCAACAGAAATTTCACTTTCATGCAGCCTAACTGTACCTAAATACAGCTAAAATAAAAAGGATTCAAAGACACAGAATGAGACAGTGTTCCTTCCATCGCTTACATTTCAGAAATGATTACAGGTTCCCTAAGACCATAGGGTTCCTAGGAAAAGTCATGTGATCCTTTAAATGGCAGGGTTTCTAGGGTTTTGTTCTGTTTTTAAAACGTAAGCATATAGTTCTCAATGAAAAGAAAAAAAAAAAAAGAACAAAAAGAGAAAAAAGAGAAAACTTTCCGCTATTTCAGAATTTTCAGAATTGCACCCTCTGGCAGAGGTTAAGTGATAAAAGCACATTCTGTTGCCTTTCTTCTCATAGCCAAGGTGTCTCTGAAAATGTATTCCATGCTCACCTGCAAAGTGGGTGCCTGTAAACTGCGCTTGGGGAGTTCTGGAAGGTGGAGTGCTCCACTGCCATTTTCCTGGAATACCTAGAAGGGGAAAAAGAGGAACAAAAAAAAAAAAACAAAACCCAAACATCAGGCACACAAGTAGGAAAATAAACTGTCTGTCATTATCCAACTTCTGAAAACTAAACTTCTTAATTTTACAACTGAAGTTGGAAAGATTGAAAAGATACATTCGCAAAGGCAAATAAGGCCTTCCTTATATGACGCTCTCTGCAGAAACAGCTTGGGCACGATAGCTCTGGAAACACATTCTCTTTAGAGGAATGCAGCAACACCCATTGGAAATACCTTCCTGGCCTTTTTTTCATCTTCCTCTAACTGGTTCTTGAGCACCTGGATTTTGTACTGCAGTTGCTGTATAGTTTCTTCAATGCGTTCTGCTGATCGCTCAGCTTCATTTATTTCTTCCTAAGTCAAAATAGAGACAAAAACAGAACAAAATTTACTTTAGAGACGGTGAGCCTTTTGTGTATAAGATACTGACAATCAGCATCAGCTGAGTCACTGAAAAAACATCCAAAAAGACACACTGCTTTGTAGTGAAGGTGGGTGACAATGATGAACAGTGGACAACTACTCCACAACAGCAGTCCATCTAAAAAGTTACAACACACTGAGCAGCAGCAGACGGGTCAGGTATTTTCTTCCCTTCCTTGCCTTTCATACCTGCAATTGTACCAGAGACTCTTCATTTGTCTCAAGCATTTGTTTCTCTGCCATTTGAAGGCTCGGGACATTCTTCAGATTGCCCAGCTTCCCTGGAGGCACCTTTAAAGTCTTGAAAAATCTCAGCACCCTTTATTACAGAAAAAGGAAAGCATGACTTGTTTGGAGTTCTTTGCAAAACAAAAAGAAAACTGACTAATGACTTCTATGGGGAAAAACTAAACTCAGTTTAGTCCAATTGCTGCCAGTGAAGTAAAAGGATCCAGACAGGAAGAAAAGCTGTCGTTAATTGTTTTCCAAAATCACATGGAATAGATGTCTAAGGAAGGAACCAGGAATAAGAAATCCCACCATTCTAACCTTTGCTATTACATTGTGTGGTTTCTATCCCATTGGCCTGTACACCCCGAGTGTAAATTGACATTAACTAATATTTTCCCCATTCTGACCTTTCTGCTTTTCAAAGTAAAACTAAGTTCTAAAAGCAGTATTTTTAACTGCTTCCAAACAAAGATCATTTTAGTAAAATCTGTAAATGCTTTTGTGAAACATGAATAGTTTTATGCCAGAGGAAGAGTTCTAGCTTGCTCTCAAAGGTCCTTCTGATTCTGAGGAAGACTTGAATTCTTCCAAGTTGGACCTGTCTGTTAGATACACCAAACTGCCACAATCTCCGTGCATCTCAGATGAAATTGCAGGAGTTTGGCAACTCAGAAGTTAAACATGTCACAAATGAAACATTAAAAAAAAAAAAAAAAAAAAAGAAAACCATTTATGAAAAACTAGCTCCTCATGTTTGAATCTTGAGGTACTGAAAGAACAAAGAAAACAATATATAGGCTCAGGCACTATGTTGGTAAGAGCCTGGTATACCGACACACACGTACACAAAAATTCTCAGACACTCAAGCATACGTAATTACTCCCACGATGACATAAAAATGCTAGCTATGCCCCAATATAAAATTTCAATCCTCTTTGAAGTAACTTCAACAGTCAGAAAATGAACTAGCATTTAAGCAAATTTAGCTATCACTGCTCCCGCCACTATCATAAAATGATAACAAAATAAATAGCTGCCCACAAATTTAAACCCTGTATAAAGAGTACAAAGCTGATTCAAGGAGTTCTTAGGAATACCTTCCAGGTTCTGTAACTCATATAGAAGTAGTTAAAGTGGGTCTTTCAACAACTCTTGCCTGTCCACTTCAATCAACGTACCATCAAGATATTTCCCTCCTTGATTTTGCATCAACTCTCCCTTCCAAGATTTCCTAAATTGCTCCCAGGAGCAATTCTGTAAGTGTGGTACGAAACAACTGGGTAAACTAAATCCCTTCTCTCTCTCTTTTCTTTTTTTTTTTTAATTATAATTTCTTACCTTCCTTTCAGTAAATTGAGGTGCTTCTGAACATCATCTTTTCTCTCACTTTGTTGGCACAAAACAGATCTGGAAAGAAAATAAAGGCAGAATTTTCATCACAAAGCCTGCAAGCACAGAGAACACGTGAAGTGATTCATCACTTCACACATCAGGTGAAGGGAACATACTCAGAACTTCTCTAGCTAAAAATTTCCAACTTCAGATAGAAAGTGTTATATTATACCAGACAAAATATACATAGCCAGCCATATTGCCCAAAAAAGCTCCAAAGCTTTTCCAGTTCAAGCAATGTTATGATTTTCACTTTATTCCTTGTGGAAACAAAGAAGAACCACCAGCATATTTGGCACTTACAGTACTACTGAATCCATTACAGTTTCCAGAAACTGCCTACTGCTTTCTGAGAGAGTCTGCCAAGATCCTATTTTAGCACTGGTTAGCTTCACCTTTTTTAAAGAACCTTTTTCTCCTGTTAACACAAAGGAAAAAAGGAAGATTGATTGACAAATCAGTCAAACCTGGATAGACAGCTTTGTGACTCAATTCAGTCAGATTGTAGTCAAAGGTGTAACAGGTAAGATTTTTCCATGTCAGAAAACTATCAGGTCAAATCTATCCACATCAGGTGGTACTTATTATTTGCAAGTCACAAGTTGTTTAAAAAGCACAAAATAGAACAGGTTCTTTCTTACAGCAGTTTCATTCTAAACAGATACTTTCCCAAAATCATTAGTGATACAAGTGAGAAAACCCAGAATGAAATTAAAAAAAGAGTGGGAATATACGTAAGAGAGAAACTCAATGCAGCAGAGGCCTCATCTCATTTGTATGTTCAATACAATACATGCCAGTCTTAAGACAGAAGGTTAAGAGAGAAGACAATGACCTCTGAAGAGAAAGTTAAAATGTTCTGAGTGCTTGTGGTGGAATTTTACAAGAGAAGAAAACTACTTGCAAAAAAAAAGTGTATGATTAATACGTGCATATACAACACATATGATAGGAATGCACACTGGGTAAGACTGTACTGCAAATACTTGCTGTTACTGTTTAGAAAGAAACCTTTGAAACTTATTTCAGTAACATCTCAGACATCTATGATTTTAACATAGCAGTTACTACTTTTACTTTCAGTGTTTTTTCAAAACACTGAATTTGCACGAGACAAACATAAGGAAAGAATACAATCCTACCTGCAGGGGAACAGTCCCCGTGTTCCTTAGCTTTCCTCTTGACTGTCTGAGTGACGTGCTGAAGAGAAAAATTTACAGCAAATGTGGTAATTTTGAAACATCCTCTGCTGTGCAACCATTCATCTACTACTAGCAACCCACTATAAAAAGGCTGTAAAAGCATGTTAGTGCTTGACAGAGGTCTATGGACGTTGACCACAAAAAAGGCTTTTTGAACTGTGAAACAGTAATTCATCTCAAGCAGGTTAAGGAAAGCAATTCACTCTTCTCAATTCCTCCCCTTCCAAGAACGAGGTCGTGAAATAAGAAATGCACAAGATGTTTGGCTATCCAGCCACATCTTGAGATCATGGTATCCCTAAGTTCAGTGGTTAAGTAAGCGCTCTCTAACACAAAGCTGCCTAGGCCAATCCTGAGACATGCAGAGAATTTTTTCCAGAACTGAATAAACTTCACCTGAGCTACATGAACTCTGACTTTATCACTCTGTTCAAACAGATGCTATGCAGCTCCTCAAAACTGCACAGCCAGATTGCCTTTTTATTAATTATCAGGCAATGCTTCCCTCTACTTGCCACAGGCCCAGTAGCACGCAACTAGAAATTCTGGAAACCAGGGAGCAGCTAAGGCAGTGGGTCTCAAAAGAGCTGTTCACACTGGACATTCCTCAAGAGGCCTACATTTAGTTAATGAAATATTCTCTATAAATTCCAGTTAAAAACTGGGAAAAAATGCCTCTTTTTTTTTTTCCTTTGATTGCTTTTCTAATATTTTTGATTCAAAATAATGATTACCTTTCTTTTTTGACCTTGTTTTCTTCCTTCTCCCTCTGTTCCCTTTTTTTCGGTGGAAGACCCTTGTTCATTTTGTGATTTAAATGGTTTTTTTGCTGATCCCCCACCAGTGGTCTCCCCCATTTTATTGGAAGATGCGTGGCGGCGTTTCATTATCTGTAAACCAAATGGAACAAAAGGAAACAAAACCAAAATTAAAATCCAGCAATTATAATCTGTACAGTACAAACCACACATTAACAAGCAAAACGACGGAAATACCCAGTGCTAAACGAGCCCAAATGTTTGCATATTTGCTAACCCAAAGCCGAAATCTTGCATATTTATCTAAGTGCAGGACCACTAAAAAAGCATCCCCATTTGCCTTTTAGACAAGTCTTTGCATATTCTGCACCTCTTTCTAAACTTAAAAGCCGGCATGTCTGCATGCCAAAGAGCGGCAATGGCAATGCAAGGGTAACTGCTCTGAGAACAGCCTAATTTGTTCTTAAAGGCCTCCAACAATAGAAATTCTTTAGCTTTCCAGTGCAGTTCAGTGCAGTCATCCTATTACCAGAACTTTTTACCCCAGCTCCTAACCATAATGTTCCTTGATGCAGTTTAAACCTATAGTTTCTCTCCTTACTCACTACAGAGATGGAGGAAAAAGAAGTCGCACAGAGTAATCATTACACCCCACTAGCCTTCTCTTTTCTAAGCACAACGACTCAGATGTATTCAGTTTTTCTTCCATCCCCTCAGGCCACTTCTTCCCTCAGGCCACTTCTTCCCTCACGCAGAGGGCCCCTCTCGGCTCGCCAGGCGACAGTCGCGACCGACACCACGGATATAAGCCCTTTTCCGCCCCCCCTCCAGTAACTACCACCATACGGAGGCCGTGGTCTGCTTCTCAGGGCGCACCTTAACGGGCAGCGCGACGCCTCGCCATGTCGCGACAGCGTCCAGACGCGAATGGGATGGGACAGCATTCGCAGCATACCTCAGCGTGCGAGGGGCGGACTACAACTCCC